TTTATTTCACCTGCATGCCACAGCAGAGAGCAATTGGTTTTAAGTCACAGAATGTAAACAAATGTGGTCCGCTTTTCCAAATCTGCATGTATACACTACCATTGTAGAACCAGACAATGTTAGTATTTTAAGTACTTGAAGGACTATCTTATGCATGTCTTAGTCAAAAGTATTTTGAGAATGTTTTCCGTTTTCATGGACTAACTTCAAAACCTAACTTCACTAAAAACATCCCCCTTAAAGTATGATTTTAGCCAATTATTTTGAACAGTGCTATCTGATGAGAATCCATTTAACTAGTTTCCTAGTAGATACATCCAAAAATACTTTGAATATATACACATTCTATTGCATGAACATTTTATTACACACTTCCACACACAGCTGTGATATGAAGCCTGGCTAGCCTTTTCTGTAAATTTACAATATGAGCAGCCAGGACATCAGGCAAGGTAAGAGTGACAGAAAAAATACACAGGAACTACATGATCAACTGAAACAACTCTCAATATGCCCCAGTAACACAGGAAAAATTCCCTAGTAACATGGGAAAAAAGTGTGTTCTGGAATTCTCAGAGTATTTTCAGAATTACTATGTGTTAATTTATTGACTCTCGCAAGTTTCTGTTCCTTCCTTCCTTTTTTACAACAATCACTACAAAGCTCACTGTGCGGCTGACAGAGAAAAATTAGCCATAAAAATTGCATATAGAAAGACATTTTCATCATGCTTTTATAAAAAAAAATAGTTGTATCTACAATAAAGAACATTATGCAATTTGATTGCTTTGTCACCTTACTCATTTTACAAGTCCAGTGAAAAACAGGCTAAAACAATAAAAGCTTTCACTATGTTCATGTGTGTATAGTGCTTTTCCAAAATAAGTATTTTATCATTTACCTCATGATGCAACTAATATTCCCTTCCAAACTTGGTATTTTGGCTGCATTTTACCAAAAAACTTACACAACTTGAGAACCCAGAATTAATTTTTCCAGATCCCTTTTCAATCCCTCTTTACTTTGGGCACCCTGCAGAAAAGTTCAGTTTTGAGAACCTTTAGCACAAACAGGTCATTCCAGTTAGAATTGATTTGCAGATGGCTTTGAAGGTGCTGTGATGAGAACCCTGGTCACCAGCACCACCACGTAACTATTTATACACCACAACACTTGGAAAGCTCTGCCACAGAACAGAAGTCCCCTCTGCAGGGTGCTGTTCAGAGAAAGGTTATTTCTGCCTCCAAGCGTTTCTACTCGGTACAAGGCAGAAAGGGAATACTGATGTATGGACAAGAACACACAGAAACTAAGATAACAATTCCAGAACTGACGCTGCTTTCTCACAGCAGCAGTCTCCCTCAGCTTCCTCCAAGTGTGTTCTACTACCTGACTAACTAGCTCTGTAGAAAAGGAAGGAAACAACCATGCTGCACATCAACATTTAAGAGTAGCAGTAGAACCTCCAGGAGGTGAGAAGCTGTCTTCAAAACTGAACCCCAGAGCTCAAGCAGCACTTCACTCACAATAAAACAATGTCTGGCTGTCAGCAATGTCTTACACTTCCTTCCTGTTATTTTAGAAGTCCGTGCTCACACTTCTGAAAAAGAATTGTGTGATGTTTGGATGTGTGAAAATAGTAATTATCCTGAAAACAAAGCAGTATGTACCTGAAAGAGTGAAAGGAGAGCTCATGGCAAAGCTGCATGCTCTCAGGAAATACTTGTCTCTTTCTAGAAAGCACCACATGATTTCCAAGGGAAAGAAATAACACATGAAATATAACACATGATTTTCAAGACAAAGACAATACCTCCTTCAATGAATGCTAAGTAGCAAAAACAATCTGAATAACATCATGGAGAATCAAAAGGGAAATATCCACAGTGAGTCCTGGCTAACTCTCAAGATGATGTCAGATGAGAACTCTTTGGGGAAAATTAACTGTCTTCTTTTCTTTTTATATACAAATTAACATAATGAGGTAAAAAATCATCTACTATTAACGGCTTCTGATAAACCCCTTAAACACTGGAGAAAATGGGAAGGTCTCATTCATTATTTCTCACCTCAAGTTTGACCACCTACCATTTAATTTACAGATACTAAAAAAAACCCCACTTTCTAGAACTATGATAAACCAAATAATACTAGCAGACCTTATAGTATCTCCATTATCTCCCTTATAGTCTCTTCTAGATCATACTCAACCATAGATAAAATCAATCACATAGAACCATGGATGTCATCAGATTACAGGCTTTCCCATATCATCTGAGTAGGGCATAATATTTGATTCTCTTCTTATTGGAGTTTAAATATTATATATAGAAGTATTTGTTGGTGCTGGAGCACTACCATTTCCTAGAGCTTCACAACCCAAAAACCTTGAAGATTTTCATAAGAACAGTTAAAATTTCAGAGTTTTATCTTCTGGCATTCACAGAACTCACTGCTATTGAAATTCTTATAATGTTATAGCCACAGTATGTGGAAGAGATCCACATCTCTACTTAAAAAGAAATGTGAGCATTGCAAAGGAAAAAAAAAAAATAGGAAAAAGTAGGCTGGAAACTGGGAAAACATGCTTCTGGATGTCCAAACATTGATTCCAAACAGGTTTGGTTCTTTAAGAGAACAGAGAATTGTTAAGACAACTGCAAAAACATTGGTGAGGTATTTGCAAACAACACTCATGGACTGAGAAGATTAAAATGTAATCAATACAGTAAACTTAAAGAGGAAATTACTTATGTGTGGACTTACTGCAACAGACTTTTCATTGAGCAGGGAGGTAGATTGGTGAAATCTAATTTGTAGTCTTTACTTCAAAGACAGGACTACTACAGGGACTTTGCGAAACAAGGCAATAAAAGAAAATTCAAAGATAAATGGAAGTATTATTGCTCCAACTCCTGACAAACAGATTCCCCAAAGGAGACAGTCAACAAGAATATTCAGTGGGAGGGCACTAACATCTTCATCTCCGTGGTGACTCACTCTTAAGTAACATTTCCTTTCATAAGAACCTCTCTAAGTAAAATGAAAATCCCATTCAGTGACCATAACTATAGGGAGAACATCATCTTCCTAATTAGATTTTTTTATATTGGTAGCTCCTTGTCTTAAGACACAAGAAGAAATAGATGCCCAAATCAGCTATTTTATAACAAAGAATATAACTCCATTAAAGCTGAGCAATGGAAATCTTTATGTGCAAGGAGAGAATAGAACAGAAAAACTAAATTCAAGATCAGACCCTTGCCTTTCCTGCCCACAAAACAAAGTGTTCACAGACTTCCTGCCAAGACTATAATCTTAAAAATGTAAATTTATGTAACACTGCCAGTTGACATCCATGTCAGTACAAACTTATTACCACCACTTGTGTGAGTTAGTGACAAACTGTCTCAACCTGTGTTGAGGCTTCCACTCACACCAGGAAAACTCAGCTGACACATTGCATCCTTTTACACACTAGTTATTTTTTCAGGACTTCAGAAAGTGCTGTGAATACATACAGAAAAACAGAAGTGCTGAACAGTTTCCAGTTTCAGTCATGCTGAACAGGTTGGCAGCATTATTAATGCTTCAATTTGAGGTAAACACATTTGGGCTCTCTTATAGCAGTGACCAGTGGTTCACTATGAGCTTAGGAATCTGAAAAAATCCCATCCCAATAACAAGCTATTTTACAAATATTTAAATAAGAAAAAATATTTAAATTAGAAAAAGTTTCAGGGGCAGTAATACTTACTCTCCACAGTTCATAACTTTAACATAATAGTTTCTTTTACAAGTCCTGTTGCCAAGGAAGACTTTCTACATCAACAAACACAGTCTAATGGACACTGACTTCATAAGGCTCTTCTTATCCAAGTAAAAACTTATACAATTGGAAAAAATATTTCACATAGTGTATCACAGTTTATACGCTCACTTAATGTGTGAAAATGTCATCATAGTTTTGACATCAGAATAAAATCTGAACTCAAAGTTCCTTATGTATTTCTCCAATTTAGATATCTTCAACAGTAGAACACATGCCAGAGCAATTTGCATGCTAATGTGCATCAACACTATTTCCATTTTCACTGCTTCTTCAACGACTTAAAATGGTATACAAAGCAACACAACAAGATTTGACTGTAAATTTCTGACCACTGAATACACATCAAACTTGCTATATCACTTTGCCACTGTTGGGTCATACTGTTTTCAAATAAAAGTAAAAACATACAGACTTTGACCTTTCTGCTTCTTTACCTGCTGTTTCATCCATTGTAGTAAAACAACACACTGATAAGCCTAAAATCCTAAGATTCTATGAAGCTAACATGAGCACTAAAATCACAGATGAAAGTATCTGAAATATGTAAGTTCTTAAATAACGGTCATTATTCAAAAAATAATGAATGAATACCTTTCAAATGAATACTGAGACCACACAGACAAAAACTATTTCCCCGTGTATCATTTTTCTCGAGGACACCTGTAACCATTTACTACCCCAGACACCAAAAGCAAACCACTTACAGTACTATACCCAAACAAGAAGGCTTGAACCAGTTCTCCATGCTAATGGGACTAAGCAAAGTTTAAAACCTACATACTTACTACTCTTACACAAGAGAAAAAGGGCTCTTCACAAACTGATGAGATAACCACACATGAGAACTCCCCTCTCAGTCATTAACATAACCTTAAGAATACACAAGTGCAACTCAGAAAGACAAGCACAAAAACAACACAGTAGCCAAATATGACAGTTTTAATAAATACCACATACCTGAGGATTCAGGCACACACACACCAGAATTTTATGAGTTTGAATACAGAGTTTTAAATTAAATTTCAAAACAATCGAGGACCTTTGAAAGGTAAAACTGATTGCTTAAGAGAATCCATTTATTCCTCTAAACTAAAGTCATCCCTACTCTCCAGAAATTTTTCTGCTGGACTGCTAATGGATGACAATTGTAATTAATCATTTAACTCACCTGGCCTGGCTGAGGAGATAAACAATTAACAACCTCCTCCAGCATCACTGGTACGTGCAATCTTCCACATTTACTGTTTTCTGCATTTTGAGGCAGCTCTTCAGCTTCACATTTTTGGACAGTTTGTTCCTCTGACTCAGAAAGCTTTTCTGATGAATGGATCCTCCTGGCCAAACCAGTCACATTTACTGAATTCAGTTTCAAGTTACACAGAAACAAACATCTGCAAACTTGGTATAGATTTTGAGGTAACATTTTGGAGTTGATCAACCTAGAAGAGCAGTAGATGTTGGGAATTACTTTCAAACAAGTACTTGAAATAGTGGATTTATTTAAATAACATAGGGGAAATGCTATAGGCAAAGCTATACCATTCTGAGTTGGGCAGCTTTACAGATCTGTCATGTCAGTAAAATGTTTTCAGAACTTTAAAGATTACCTACAAATCAATCATGTTCAAGCAGTTAGCAGACTCATTTCACTATCAGCTTCTAATATCTGCTTTTGTTGAATTTACCTTGCCAGAGACTACCAAAATTTTGCCTACAGAAAGATATATGCTAACAAAGTTACTCTCCTGATCATTTAGGCTTCAACTGGGCCATAATTCCCTCAGCTTAAATTTGCAAGTGCACCTCACTCTAGCTTTGGGCAGACACGCAGGTGTGTGTTTCACCACAAGCCATAGTGTGCCTACAGAAAACACATCTATGACCATGGTGTGCTCTGCTGGTTTTGCCCGGGCTGGAGTTAATTTTCTCCCCAGCAGCTGAGCTGGGGCTGGTTTGGATTTCTGCTGGCACAGCACAGAGGAGACACAGCTGGGCAGGAGACCCAAATGCACCCAAGGGATATTCCAGACCAAAGGACACGGTGCTCCGGACAGAAAGGGGGCAAGAGGACGACTGGGGTGGTGGCATTGGTGTTCCCAAGTGACCACTGTTATCTGCGATGGGCCCCGCTCTCCTGGAGATGGCTGGACCAGGGGAAGGCATTCCTTGTTTTGCTCTGCCTGCCTGCACAGCCTTTGACTCCCCCGTGAAACTCTCTCCACTCAGCCGCTGTTTCTGCCTTCCCACCCTTCCCCTTCTGTCCCGGCCCCTCTGTGAGGGCGAGGAGCGGCTGAACGGGACCAGGGCCACCATCCCCTGCCCGGCCCGGGGGTGACGCGAGGGACTCCGCTCACAGCCACGGCCTCCTGCCCACGGGAGATCTCCTCAGCGGCGAGCACGCCGGCCGGATTTCATTTCATTTCTCTAACAGTGCTCGCCAGAAGGGAACCGGGCCCCACTGCAGGCTGCCGCCCCGGGATCGGCCCTGCGCTAAAGCAGCGAGGACAAAATCCCCGCCCGAAGCACTTTCGGTCAGAGCCGACCGGAGCAGCGGCAGCGGCCGCGGCCCGCGCCGGGCCCGAGCGGGAGGAGCGGCCGGGGGCTGTCCCCGACCAAGCCGGGCCGGGCCGGGCCGGACCGATACGCGGAGCAGAGGCCGCCCCGGGAGCGCCGCCCTTCCCTCACGCCGGCCGCCCTTCCCTCCCCGCGGGCCCCGCCGCCGCCCCCCGCGCGCCCGGCCTCACGCACTTACCGCCGGCGCTCCGGTGACGTCACAGGCCACAGCCAATGGGAAGGCGAGGAGCGCGGCCTGGCCGGGTTTGAATCCCGCGGCCGGCGGATGGCGGTTGGTGCTGGTGCGGCCGCGGGGAGAGCGGAGCGAGCCCGGAACGGCCCGGG